ATTTAATAATATTATATTATTTTTAATATATTTAGTTGACAATTATTTTTGAAAACAAGATTTATTTAATTGATTTAGATAGTAAGTATAATAGAAATATTTAATAATATTATATTATTTCTAATATATTTCTTCAACAATTATTTTTGAAAGATATTTAAAATGAAAAATAAATATTATTTAATTTTCAATATTTAATAAGATCTATTAGTTTCTCGAATGTTTCATTATCGAAAAGTGATATATTATTTGTACAATATTTAATTGTTTTAATATAACATTGATATCATATTCAGCTTTAATGTAATACTCAATATTTAAACAATGATTTAAACTGAAGATTCTATCGTGTCTTTTAACTTTCTCTTTTACGAGTTCGAATCAATTCTTTACCAACATTTTCTCATGCATATTCAATACTAATCAAAAAGGTCCTTTTCAAAGTCAACAATACACTATATTTTCTAACACAAATTTGTATTCTAACGATTCATTCATCCATTTAAATCGAGTACTCTTCAATAGGAATTAAATCGTTGATTTACAATAGAGTTTTACTATAAAAGAAATAAAAGAAAAAAATTCCCTTTTAAAAAACAGAAAAATAAAAAAATAAAAGAATAGTAAAGGAGACCATTCATTTTTCTATTTCCTTACGTGCCTCTCAATCTTTTTCCCTTTAATCGTTTTACAGGAATGATTTAATTTTGTTTACCTTTTGCCTTTCTTTTCGAAAGGTAGAAAAATGTTAAAAGAGATTTTTCGAAATAAAAGGCCACGTATCTCCTATAAATTTTCTTACCCACATACTTTTTCTTTTTTCTATTATTTACTTTTATTTTATTTTCCCTTTTCTTTCTTCTCTTTTCCCCCATTAAATCCCCTGGTTCTGTAAAAGCTTCCTTTATCCTAATGATCCTAACGCACGTTTTCCGATTCTTCGAATTTCTCTTTGCTTTGGAAAATCGTAAAATTTCAAACAAAGTCCGAAAATCTATGCAGTTAATTTTAAACAATCAAAATTATCTTTATCTAAAAAGTATCTTTACTTGAAATAATTTTATGTTTATTTATATACACACACGTAAAAAGAAAATAATTATAATTAACGATAGTTCATTGATGATTATTTAAAATTTTTGTTTTTTCTTTGTATCAATCGTAAAAAAATTTTATTGAAAATTTTATATAATGTGATAACACATGAAATTATGATATACAAATGTATTTACGTTTAATACATCAACTCGACAACTTTTATTAATGCAAGAACATTTATTACAATACATTACTTTTTCGAAATTCAACTCTAAAGTATTTTCAGTACTGGCTTTTAATTGTACAATGATTACAGGATAAAACCGTAACGCTGATAACACCGAAACTAATTTTGAATTTGTTTTCCAAAACTCGTACCCGTGGCTTCGATGAGATAGAATTTTTAATTTCGTTCCGATCTGGCTAGCTTGTTTTCCACTGGCTAATATTCTACTAAAAGCGAAAACCATGAGAGAAACAAAGACAAAAAGTAGAAGCAAGAGAGAGAGAGAGAGAGAGAGAGCGAGAGATAACCCAAAACTACTTTTAATAGAGTTTTAATGGAATCACCTAAGATCACTTCTCTTTACTCTAAACATTTTCACGTAAACAAAAGTAATTAAAATGTTAAGAATATTACAAATATAAATAAGTTAAAATTTAAAAAAAAAAAGAACACTTACTTATAAATAAACTCATAATATAACAAAAATAAATATATTAAAAAATCCGTAAGAAAAAAATTAAACAGAATAAACCTGATGAAACAAAAACAATTAAATATATAAATGACGTAAAATAAAAATTAAACGAATAATACAATAATCCATAATCAAATATTCTAAAACATATATTGAAATAAAGAAAAAAGAAAAGGGTTTTGTAAATAAAATAAAAAATTAAATAAATAATACAATAATCCATAATCATTTTAATTAAACTTTCATAAAACATATTGAAATAAAAATAAAAGAAAAGAGTTTTGCAAATAAAATAAAAAATTAAACAAATAATACAATAATCCATAATCAAATATTCTAAAACATATTGAAATAAAAATAAAAGAAAAGTGTTTTGTAAATAAAATAAAAAATTAAACAAATAATACAATAATCCATAATCAAATATTCTAAAACATATATTGAAATAAAAATAAAAGAAAAAAGTTTTGTAAATAAAATAAAAAATCTAACGAAAGATAATAATAATTCGTAAAGAAATACACGTAAAAATGATTACTTAATAATGAAATAAAAATGTAAATGAGTAAACAATTAACAGTTATGAATTAAACATGATCCAAACAAGGAGGTCATAATCCGAATTTCGAGTTGAAGTCGATATACAGCATTTTCCTTGCATCGAAGGATTATCAGAGCATTGTAGGTAGAAACCCTATCTTCTAATGAACATCCATCGAGAATAGAAACGCATAGACGTCTAATGAAAGCTATCGACAGTCTGTAATCGTCGTGTAATAGGTCCATCGACGGGTACGTTAACAACCCGAACGCAAATTGCGATCGTTAGCATAATGCAGCCACCGACATTACCTACGGCGTTTGCTACAAAGCCCTTATGCACCTACACTGTCATTGACTTTCGATTTTCCATCTCCATAAGATAGATATATCAAGATTCTAATACGAGTATATGCAATGTTTAGTATATATCTTTTGTAATTGTACATGTTTTAACATTGTATAATAATAATTTTGATCTTCTGTTTTGTTTGGTATACTTTAACATCAAAAATTAATATTATTTGTAAGATTGTTCTTTTATTTTTTCAATTACTTTTCACGTTTCTCTAATATTTCATACGCGTACCGATTTTTTTTTTATTTTTCGTATATTA